TCCCCCTTTCCCCCTCCCCCTCCCCCTCCCCCCTCCCCCTCCCCCTCCCGCAGGACACGGTCAGTGAGATGGCCAAGGACCTGCAGCGGACCGCCAAGGGCTCGCAGGCCTTCACGGCGGTGGAGCTGTACGAGTTCATCCAGAAGGTGGGGAGCCCCGTATGTGTGCATGTATGTATGTATGTATGTATGTGTTTTCCATCTGGGTTTCGCTGGATTTATCGCTGGATTTGTGTGTGTGTGTGTATATTTGATTACCCCTTCCCGGAGTAGCAGGGCAATCCCCCCGTCCCCTCCCCCTCTCATACAACCAATGCCGTTACCCCCTCCCCCCTTTTGAAACCCCTTCCACCCTCATACACCCTAATGCCCGCCTTTTTAAGGTTCCCTTTTACACATACATACACATCGCCTCCTCCCCCTTTTTCCCCCCTTCCCCCCCAGATCCGCTCCGGAGCCGCCGTCGAGAACCACGAAATTATTCGGTTCGCCCAGCTATTCAACGACGCACTGACCCTGGACAACTTGGAGCGGGTGCAGTTGGTGTCCATGGCCCAGTTCGTGGGGATCAACCCCTTCGGTACGGACCAGTTCCTAAAAAACAGATTGAGGGCCCACCTACAGCAGGTGTGTCTGTCTGTATGTATGTGTGGGGGTGGTGCTGACATTGAGGGAGGGGGTGTTGAAGATCCATTGGGGGTTGGGGAAGGGGTTTCGGGTTTCGTGGACGGGTGCGGTTGGGTTGGGTTGGGTGGGGAGAGAATTGGGGGTAGATGGGGGCTGTACAGGGCGGGGCCCCGCGAGCCTTCACATGCAGTCGTGTGGCGAATGAACAGGAGGGGAAAGGAGAAGGGGACCGACACCAATTCCTCCTCTCATCCCCTGCGCCATTTCCCTGCTCCCTGTTCACCCCCACACCCCACACCCCCCACCCAGCCTCCCAATCACCCTTGGCCGTGCCGGCAGAGTTGGCCTTCTTTGCTGCTCCTTGTTTCCCCGCCGTCATATGATAACGTCCCCTTCTCCCCTTTTTTCCTTGTCTTGCTCCCGCCCCCCTCCCCCCCTTCATCTCCTCCCCCTCTCCCCTCCCCTCCAGATAAAGCACGATGACTACCAGATCGAGCGGGAGGGTTTGGAGAACCTGACCGAGGACGAGTTGCGACAGGCGTGCCGGGCCCGCGGCAT